ATTGTCAATAAAATAATTCTTAAAATTGGCATTTGAGCATCACCAACGTGAAACATCTTGCTAAAAGAAAGGATGCCAACTATTCACTAGATTATCAGCAATAAGAGTCTTGTTGCTGAAAGTACATGGCTAACTATTCATTAGATTATCAGCAACAATAATCATGTTGCTGAAAATTCAAAAAACTATCAGCAACAAGTGACTTGTGTTGCTGAAAATGAGGCTGAATTCTAATGCCGGATTTCCATTTTTTTCCACCGGTTAACCAATAATTTTTAGCAACATGAGCCACATTGCTGAAACTCCATCTTTAGCAACGTGGCCTAAGTTGCTGAAGGGGGTGAGAAATTTCTCCCCCACCGGTCACCGGATTCCGGTGAAAATTTTCAGCAACATAAGTTATGTTGCTGATACTTTTTTTTCAGCAACATAGCTTATGTTGCTGATATATTAGCAACATTATTTTGGTTGGTAATGTATTACCCACCAAGCTTTCTCCAACAAAGCTTTTAGCAAGCAAACCCATGTTGCTGAAAGACTTTCAGCAACATGGGAACCATTTTCAGCAACATGCTTCCATGTTGCTGAAACCAAGGATTTTAGTAGTGTGAATTTATCAATCTCAAATCCTTTGACTTGGTGCAGCTACCCAATATATAGAGCCGTCGCCGCCATCTCCACCGCTACTGCCATCTCCATTATCGTCACCATCGCCTCCTCTTCTGCCTGTAGTCCCTCAATTTTTAACCTCCTATAATTTCCTGCACCATCCCAAGCCAACCCATCGCTGTCCTTACTTGGCCAAACTCCTCCAGATCCTAATTCTCCCTTGAATGATAGTAAGTTCAGGCCAAAAACATCCTAGCTGAGTAGCAATGTTCAATGCCAACCAAATAAGGAAACTAGACAAATAGAGTAAAAAAAAAAAAACCACAACTCCAACTAGAGGAGAAGAAACACCATACAAAACCCTAAAAGAGAGAACCATATATGAAGGAGAGAAGCACACCCTTGAGTGTATTATGGTTGGTTAATTGGCCGAGATCTCCTATTAACATTTAGAAATATATCATATTGATATATGTTGGTGCAAAACACACGAATACTGAGAAATGCCAAAAAAAAAAAAAAAAAAAAAAGAAGCCTAGATATGAAGCTAGAGGCCAAATGGCCAAATACTTAGGATTTTATGAAGACCCCCAATGAAATTACTGGGAAAAGAATACAGGGCAAGCTTTCCTCTTTTCTGGATTCTGACATTATTATTAAGAGATTCATAAAAACCATTTAGCCAAAAAGCCTTGTCCAGGGGCAAATGTAAAATTCCTTTGAAATCATCTCCTCTCCCTCGTCCACAAGAAATTTAGACTTTATTATTGCATATATATGATTATGCAACGGATGGTCAAAGCAAGGTTGTTAATTTCGATACATAAAGATCGATTTTATGGCAAAAATTGGTAAAAAAGTAGCATTTTTAGTACCACTCAAAATACTGGCCGTACCGGCTGAAAAGTTATATATCCGCCAAAATATCATGCACCTCGATCCGTACAAAATTGTAAGCCATTTTCACACAAAAAAGGAAAAGAAAAAAATGGTGGGAAAGGAAGGAGGCTGTGAGTCTAGCTATGACTGTGAGGTGGTGATGAATAATTAGAGGTTATGTGGAGGGGATAATAGTGGTGAAAAAATTGGAGGAGTGGCTGTGATTTGTGGCTCCGCTGGTTTAATTGAATTTGTAAAGAGAGGAGAAAAAAAAATGAGAAACCCTGTAATTTGTAGTTTCAGTATCATGGTGAGGATGGTGAGGCAGCAGTAATTCATGGTTGACTTGATTGATTTTTGCAGGAAAAGAGGAGATGAAAGTTGAGATAGATTATAATTTTTACCTTTAATTTCAAAGTTTGTGTTATTTGGGGGAAGGAAGGGGACGACGATGAGAGATCAGGAAAAAGCACGCCATTTTCAGATTTTTTTTTTGGAGGATATAGAGACTAGGCAAAGGCGTGGACAGGGGTTGGTGAGGGTGAGATTTAGATGAGATATTCGTTAAGATGAAGGCATGACGATGAGCACGTCTTAAGGATAAAAATGGAGTACCCTTTCATTTTTGAAAAATTGGGCAACGACCTACCATGCAATTTAAGG